CGGGCCTTACGTTTGACACCCCTGCATTAATGTCATAGCTCTTGCACGCTTCTGTACAAATGAGGCGCTCACGTGATAACGGTCCGATCCGTTATGCCTCAAGGGATAGGTGTGCCACCCAAGATCTGGCGTCTAGGGCTGCTACTTCTTGGCACCGCCACCTCTGATTCTTCCCCAGGACTGTGCCATGGGCAATTTCCCCCAGAATCCTCCTTGCCTGCCGGACTAACAAAAGACCGGCATGATTGACGCTGAGGGATTTGGCTATGCCAAACCTGTGCATTCAAGCCCTGTTGCCTGCCTCACATGTTTCTTGGTTCCTCACAATTCAGAGGTTGCATACGCAAGAGGCGGGGGGGGGAGAACAGATATGCAATTGTGTGACGTGGCCACAAGGGGGTACATTTGCATTAGAGAAATCCCTGCATCTTTAAGCCACCCTAAAGAGAGCTGAACATATAATATAAAGAAATCCTTTGATCGATGGGACTTCCCGGAAGAGAAATTCCCTGTTCTTCTGGAAGCTGAAAAGGCTACTTGACTGTGCCGGCTTATTGGAAGAGTAGTGTGATGAAAACTAAAGTCCTCAGACACTCTGACTGCTTTATTTACTACGGGTAAAGTCGATTCAGGCGGGTAGCCGTGTCGGTCTGAAGCGGCAGAACAGAGTCTTAAGCACAGTGGCACCTTCAAGTCCAACAAAGTGCTTGCACACGAAAGCGTATACCCAGAGCAAAACTTTGTTGGTCTTAAAGGTACCACTGGACTCAAACTTTGTTCTATGGGTCAGGTCGTTATCCTTGCTGCTCAGACTCACATTAGTTTAATACTTTGGTGGAGGGTAGAGACCAGTGTTCCCTCTAAGCTGAGTTAGTGTGAGATAGCTCAAAGGTTTTTAGCCTCCGGCTCACACATTGTTGTCTTAGCTCAGGAAGGACAGCTCCAGAGCAAACTAATTCATGCAGCGGCCAAATCGCTTGCTCACAACTTTAATGCCAGGAGCTCACAAAGTAGAATTTTTGCTCACAGGACTCCACAGCTTAGAGGGAACAGTGGTGGAGACTGGACTTCCAATTTTTTTTTTGGGGGGGGGG